GCGCGTAGGGGTGGTTAATATTGCATTACATAGATTGGGCGCATTGTATCTTGGTATCGAAAGCATTTATGTACAGAAAGCATTTATTTTATTTTGCGGATAGCTCGACCGCGTTCTTGAATGCGCCGAGCAGTGCCGTCAGCTGGATCTTCTCGCTGGCGCCCGTCGACAGGCGATGTCTGTTAGCGGGTCAGCGCGACAGTGCGGTTGAGGGGGGCGCACGTACTCGGTAGTGGCGAGGTAATCCAAGAGATAGATGCGGGCGTGCGGTTTCAGCTCGAGACCCTCGATGTAGTCGTACGCGCCTGTGAGCAGGTCCTGCAGCGCCAGCCCGCGCTCAGTTTTCATCGCGGTAATCACTGCTGCGTGTCAGGCTCGCAGATTGGTGGAGGGGAACAAACGTACTCGTATAGCAGGTCGTGAACTCGTCGGAGAGCATCGAGTTGACGATCGTCTCGATGTCCGCCGGGTGTGGGTTGCCCGTGCAGTTGTAGATCTCCGTCTCGCCGGTGAGGTCGTACGCGGCGTGGCACGCCTGCAGGACGTTCAGCGCACGACGCATGTCGCCCTTGGAGAGCTTCAGCAGCGCGGCCTTGCCGTCCGGCGTAACCTTGACGCTGCAGACGCGTCGGTAAGCCGAACAGGGGTATAGGGTGTAACTTACTGCTCCGCCTCGATGACGCCGTCGAGGCGTTTCTCGACCTCGACGATGGGGAGGGGGGAGAAGCGGAAGCGCGTGCATCGACTCTGGATGGCAGGGGCGATCTTGTTGACGTAGTTGCAGATGATGCAAAAGCGGACGTTCTTAGTGTACTGCTCAATGACGCGGCGGAGAGCAGCCTGAGCCTGCTGGGTCATCATGTCTGCCTCATCCAGTATGATGAGCTTGTAGCCCTTGGAGAAGAGCGTGCGCGTTTCGGCAAACTGCTTGATTTGCTCGCGCACTACGTCGATCCCGCGGTCGTCCGATGCATTGAGCTGAGCCCGGGTGAGCGCGACGTGTGAAAGGAGGGTAAAAACACACCTCGAGTATCTGTTTTCGGTAGTCGGAGCCGTATATTCGGCGGGCGACGGCGAGGATGGTCGAGGTTTTTCCCGTGCCCGGAGGGCCATAGAACAAGAGATGTGGCAGGCGGTTCTTTTCGATGAATTTCTCGACTATGGCAATAAGAGGCTGTCCCCGAGTCGAAGTGATGATGCTTACTTGTGGTTGTGATGTCCTTGTGGGAAACGACATCATCAAGGGTGACTGGTCTGTACTTTTCGACCCTAAAGACGCGTCAGACGCGGCCAGACGCGACGGAGAGCAACGGCACCAGGGAAGATTGTCGTTGTCAAAGGGGCGGTCTTTGTCGACGGCCTTGCCCTTGCCCTTTGCCGCGGTATGAATCTGCTCGACATCGAGCATCTCGTCGTCAGAGTCCATGGTGGTGGTGGACGCGTTAATTGAGGGCTGTTGCTGCTTGTTGGGCTTGAACCTTAATTGCAGTTCTGTCGGGTTAGGGTTACCATACAAAAGCCAAACAGACAGAAATTTGCACTTTGAACAGAACCGGCACTTGCTTTTGTCAAAGACTCCATCGTTGATTTCGTTGGATAGACTGAAGCGTCCGTAGCGCGCAAGATGCAAATCTTCGTAAAGACGTGTGTATCCTCCTCTTCGCCGTTGCCCTTGTTCTGACTCTTTCTTTTTTTCCAGCCTCACGGGCAAAACCATCACTCTTGAAGTCGAGTCGTCGGACACGATCGACAATGTCAAGGCCAAGATTCAGGACAAGGAAGGGTATGTCGACGCTTCCCCATCCTATCTGCTTGTGTCTCAACGTCTCGTCAGGATCCCCCCCGACCAACAGCGCCTGATCTTCGCCGGCAAGCAGCTCGAGGACGGCCGCACCCTCAGCGATTACAACATCCAGAAGGAGTCCACCCTTCACCTGGTGCTCCGTCTGCGTGGTGGTGCCAAGAAGCGTAAGAAAAAGACCTACAACGTCCGTTGTTTTCTTAGCCTGTTCTGCGCGTACTCACTATGTCCCTCCAGACCCCCAAGAAGATCAAGCACAAGCGCAAGAAGGTTAAGATGGCCATCCTCAAGTACTACAAGGTCGACTCCGACGGCAAGATTAAGCGCCTCCGCCGCGAGTGCCCGACCGCCGAGTGCGGTGCCGGCGTCTTCGTAAGCCTATCCAACCCTTGATTTCCGCACGCAGCAGCTTATTCGCGGACAGATGGCCTTCCATGCCGACCGCCAGTACTGCGGCAAGTGCGGGCTGACCTACACCTTCCAGCCTGGCTCCAAGCCCCCTGCCGTCTAAGCTGGATCGTCCGTAGTTGTAGTATGCTTTATCGAGCCATGTTATGCTATGCTGGTACTAAACACATTGTCGTCCTTTCGCGAGTTGTTCTCTGAGACTGATCGGTACATGATGGTGGGGGCGCAATGTCATGCGTTACCTGGTGTTTTCCCAACCTTCCGTCAAGCGGGGAGACAAGGTGGGGCAGACCCGGATGCCGCCCACTGAGTTTTCGGCTCGCTGAGGTCGCATGAAACCAAATCGTGACAAATTCGCTACAGACATCCAGGGAGTACATACAATAAAATACAGAACTTGACATTACATTTTGTTGTCGAACCAGAAGAGCGAGTGAAGTAGATGCGGAAAGAGAGTGTATATTTAAGCTACCGGTTTCTCGGCGTCAAGGGGCTCCGGGGAGTCTTGTCGGCCGTCGCCTAGAAACACGCAAAAAATGAGCGAAATTCTCGACAAAGGGAGGGGTTACGGACGGGCGATTCGCTCGCCTGCGAGAGGTGACAATGGCGTTGAGCATATAAACAAATAACGAAGAGGAATGGAATACCTCAGACGGGCCGGGAACCTTCGGCAAGGGGACGCCCTATGTGGGCCGTTAGAATAGGACGTTCCCGGATGGAGAAAAGCCGTACCAAGTTCGACTGCGAGGGCTCGCCGGCGACACGGTCGGCACCTCCAGCCTTATCGCGAACAGTCTACAAAAGTTAAGGCAACGCCTGGACGGAAGTAAGCAAGTAGCCCATACTTTGGCCGTGCTAAGCTAGAGACGTTCAGAATAACATCAGAATAAATTCCATGGAATACGAAACGCGGTCACCTCAATTGCGGGCAGCAGTGGACTAGTAGCAGGACCAGCGCCCGGCGGGCTGACATTCTGATCGACACTAAGGTTGCACAGCGTGCGCGTCGCGACAAGGTCCCGCTATGGAGGTCCAGTTAGAATGGTAAGCCGGGAACAGAGAACCGCCCTACGTTCGCAATGGAGCCCGCTGGCCGCTCGGATGGAACTCCCAACTCCTCCTCGAGTCGGCTTGGACTGGGAATCTCCGACCACATGAAGAACTCCTGGACGGTCGTAAGTCTGGTTTCGGCATGGACGGATGGGCGGCGACAAACCATGAAGGCTTCTTGGGAAGGAGTGTGGGGGCCCGCGGTCCGGGAGGCGGTAGTGTCGATGACAGCAGGAGCCAGGGGGGAGAGGTCGCGGGACAAAAGGTCAAACGACGTGATCTGGGAGAAAATCCGATCATGGACCTGAGAACACCAAGAAAATGGGCTTACAGCGGGTGGCGAGTAATACATGATGGGCTTTGGAGATCCCTGGGGCGCGGGCTTGATGTCGTTGTCGTTTTCATGCTGGATCCTCTCTAAATTCTGCAATAGCAAAAGACCTACTAATGGTAAATATTGCGGCTGGCAAGGATAAAAGATGCAAATCATACTGAAAGATTTGCGGACCTCTACCATCTCTTTAGCTTTTGTCGACAGTCGCTTTTTTGGCGCCTTGGGTGCCTTGAAGGCCTTGGGGTTGCTAATTTGTTTCAGTATGTACACTCCTCGTCGAGTGTAGTAAACCTACTCGTACGCCGCGCTAGCAGCGCGGACCAGCGGGTCGAATATCGGGCGAAGCCATTTCGCGGACTCTTCCGTGTCTTGGAAAGCCTGCTCCCAGTGGGCACCTACGAAAGCTAGAAAATGATCTTGGACGTCCGCCAGCCCAACACCATTTTCGACAGAGCGGGCGTCCAGCTTTTCGAGTAGAGCGAGCAGAATATCGGGACAGATGACGGAATATGTGATCGACTTGAGGAGTTGAATGTTGGAATAATGAACGACGTAGTATGAGAATTGAATCTCACCTCAATGAACTCGGCGGGTTTGTAAAGGAGATCGCCCGCATCGACTATTATCTTGAATATAACATACTTCATCACGCCTTTCCCTTCGCCGGCATAGACGTCGCAGAGAGGTATAGGGTCTTCTGACGTGGGCGGTGTTCTTAGCGAGTTGAAAGATTGAGCATCTAGGAACGGAAGCCACCCGGGCGAGTAGTCTGGGGACTCGATCTGAGCGAGAAGGGCTTTGGTAACGCGGGCAGCGCGAGAGGACATGGTGGTTGTGGTGAGAAAGCGGGTTTGCTTGTGATTACCGATTTATAGTGTTTGCACTGCCACTGACGCGCCAGCAAGGCAATTATGGGGATCGACACTCGCATGCTTACATTCATCGAAAATTTGCTGCTGTTGCCGCCACTGCAGTTCCATCCGTCATACCTGGCTGCCTTCATAGTCAACACGCAGAAGATCGCTGATGGACCGAAGCTTTGCGCACCAAGTCGCGCACCGGGCGGCACCGACCCCTGCAATAAAGTAAAATATGTGCATGTCATCGCCTGTAGATCTCCGTCGACGTGCGCCAGCGTAGATTAGAAGTCGTACCGCCACCGCACTGCCACTGACGCGTCGACGCATCTCATCCCCACGGGGACAACGCGGGGTCCCACATTACGTTAATGCCAAGTGCACAGTTTGGTTCCGCAATATTAGGCAATATTACAGTCTTCGACTTGCGTTAGGTTGCGTTCGTGTCTTGTGGTGTGCCTATCCCAATATTAGTATTTGAAAGAAAAGGACATAGAAAGTACCCTAGATTTCGGAATATGTATCCATCAAAATATTGTGTACCAACGTCGCCACTTTGGTTCAGTGGTTAGAATGCCCAGACCGATTTAGGGGGGAGACCGTGGGTTCGATTCCCCGTGGTGGCGACAAAAACTAGGGCCGAGACCGCGGGGACCAGAGATCTCCCGGGCCGCTCGCGAGGAACTTCAGGGGCCTTTCCCTTAAGCAATGCTGTTGTTCCAAGTCCTTTACAAGGACATCTTTTTGAAGTTTGCGCAGCTGGAATTTGGTCCGTACGCTATAATTTTCTCCCACCACGGGGCTTTGAAAAGAAAAGAAAACCTCTCCATTTCAGGAAGAGTGCTTCCAGGTTCCAAACCCATGCCACAAATTACCCTGTGCATTTCAGGACACTCGAATTCTTCGGGCTCGAGAGCAATATACCTGCAAAAAATGACCATTAGTTCCTGATGTGTGGTCGTTTCTCATGGTCTACATATCAGGACGGGGTTTTTGATCTTTCACCAAAATATGGAAGCTCCCATGGTCGCACCATGAGGGCAACGGCGACAATCCACCTTCACTGGCATTCGCACCGAGCACCTGTGCGTGGAACCAAACTTTCGCAGACTTGCGCCTAGTGAGATCCGGCGCAACAGTTCCCATGATTCCTTCATACGTGACCGCTCGGTCGATGAACACCAGCTCCTTGAAACGGTCCCAGAGGCTCGCCATGGCTCGTGGCTCAGTCGCATTTGAGAAGATGCCAGCGGCCATTGATTGAAACGTTGACGCTATGTGAACGATTCGAGTTGCCTTCACAAAGCATATACGTTTTTTTGCGAGACTACTACTCCACTGTTTCGTTAGCATTGATGACTGAGATCTGAGCCTGAAACAATGCTTTATACGTGACAACCACGAAAATACGTGTCGGTCCTCGGACTTGTGGCGGCGGTTTGTCCAAGTTCCTTACGATCCGGACCTCTTTTCTGGGGGGAATATGCTACTGCTTTAATTGCTTTGGGTTATGCACAATGGGGTCTGAGAACAAGTTCTTTCCGCGGTTGACAAAGCTAGCAAATCCCAAGCGCGAGTCCATCTCGTCTATTGTCCTGTGGGCGATGTCAGATATAACACCGCAAAATCACACGGCGTACACACCGTTTTCGCATTTCAGCGGCCCAGGTTATTTCTTTTAGGGTAGGCGCGTTGAGCGAGGCACCTATTGTGCCGAGTACCAAAGCCAAGAGAGCCTCGAGGATGATCTGCGTTTACGCGATGAGCTGAGCTGCATTATTCCAGGAAGCAAGGCACGAACATCTGTGGGCAAGGAGCCCTCCGGCCGGCCCATGGCTTTCAGGTGGGAGAGATCTAGACAGCTACTAAGAGACGTGTAAATGTCGCGCAACAAAAAGGCGTACGCTCATATGTGGAGAACGCGGCTGCCGATAAGTCAATTGGAGTCCAAATGGCTAGTAGAGGTGACTGACCGTGGAACACGGCGACTGTCGCGAGCGAGAGCAGTATATTCTGTCGACGTGCGGCTTTAGGGGGCTACGGAAGTCCCTTTCAACCCAGATAGTGGAGGAATATATATGCCCCGCGTAATTTAACTGGATTGAATTCTGCCATCGGATGCATCATCCACAATCGATACGACGAGGAGCGTAGTGAGCCAGCATTCGAGGAAGGACGAATGGATCGTTTTAATATTCACCCATAGGTTTAAGGCAAGGATGGTTTCTGTTTGGTATCATCGGGAAACTCAAACACATGGATCAGGTTCGTTCACCTCTGTCAACTAATACGATCTTGTACGCTCATTTTTTTTTGTTAGGACTCTTTCCGTCGCTTGCTTGAATCGGGCTCGGGGGGTAGCAAACAATCCCAGAGATCTCGCGGATCCCTTCTCGTTGCTGGTACTGCAACTTCAACGTGCGTCGGATCCCTTCCAGGAAATCAACTCGAATAACGTGCATTCGATAATAGAAGAAAGACAGTCGATGCCTCCGAACCCGCTTTCAAGCCTCGAAAAGTCAAGAAGTCGGAAGGCAAATATCGCGACAGGGCCGCGGAGAGAAGGGTCGGTGAGGGAAATGACTATGCCCAGGTGCGTCTCCGCTTTCCTGGTCTTCAAAATGGCATTTAAACGACACTTCAAGGTAGAAGCCGTTCTTGAAGATTTTGAGAAACGCCTCGGGGACAATAACGCTGTAGGTTGGGGGATTTTATCGCGACAATCTCAAGTACTTACAGATTTTTTTTACAGACCGACGAGGAGAGAAAGTATCTTGGAGGAGACAGCGATCACTCAATACTTGTCAAAGGACTCGATTTCGCGCTGCTGGAGCAGAACAAGGCCAAGGCGTCCCTATCCACCGTCGACGATGATTCACTCGAACAAGCCTTCATGGCCGTAGCATCCGAAACCACTGTCCCAAAAAAGCGGACACGGGAGGAATTGTTACGTGAATTAAAGGAGAAGAGAGGCATCAAGTCGAATACCGCCACGACACCCGATTCCAAACCGAATGACGACGCCATTGAAGCCGCCAAGAAGCAAGGGAAATTCAAGCCTATAGGTTTCAAGCCAATAGGCGGTGTTGCGGAAAAACCGAAGAGGAAGAAGGCCAAAGGGGATGGGGTAGAGGGAGAGAGAAAAAAGAAGAAGCGTAAAGTTGAAGGGGCAGTAGAGAAGGGCGAAGCTGGCGAGACATCGTCCCTTCTTCCTCCGCCGCCCCTCCCCTCAGATCCTGCTCCCACAGCTTCATCCTCCACGCTGGTCCCGCCCGAGGATGATATGCCTGATGATTTTGACATATTCGCGGGTGCAGGGGAATACGAAGGCATTGATCTAGGTGATGAGGAGGACGATGATGAACCTCCCGCTGTAGAGCCTGATAAACCCGAGCTCGAAGATGGCGAGGAGTTCACCGACGCTCCACCCCTGCGAAAATGGTTCGAGGACGATGAACCAGAGCCTCTCTCTTCCAGCTCAAAACTACCCCTGGCGCCTGTTAATGTTAAACCTCCGGTCCACTCTGCAGATGACGACGAAGAAGGGGAGCTGGAGCAACCCACTCGCCTGGTTCCACTCGCAAGCTCCGCGTTACCTTCCATCAAAGACTTGCTTGCTATGGATAAGGCGGCCAATTCTTCGGACAAGTGGAAGAAGCGTAAAGACAAGAAAAAGAGCGGAAAGGACGAGGGAGATACGACTTCCAAACCCAAAATGACCGCAGAGGTGAAAGTTGAGAGAGATTACAAGCGGTAATTCCATTCGTTGTTTGATGGGGGTAATGACTCATTTTTTTCAGGCTCAAGAATTATACGGACAAGAAAGCTGCGGGGAGTATGCAAGAATGACAAGCGAATTTGGCTTGTAACTACTAGTACATACTTGTCAAACGTCATATGAGCATAGCTTCCGCCACATGTACATATGGCGGCACCCCACTATCAGCTTACCAGCTTTTACCCGGAACGAATCGGCCATAGATGTCGAATTTTCTCTGGTAGCGAGGTCGCGAAGCAGATATGCATACATGGTGTAACTACTACGGTCGTCCAGCCGTGAGTTTGTTTATAGTGTTGGTCCGTAGCGCAGTGTCGGCGAATAGTGCTCGCACTAATCCCACTAGCTCGTCGACCTCAAAGTCTACCAAAGCGCCACTGTCGAAGAGATATGAAATGTCGACCATGGAGGCCTCCTACAGCGCACAGGAAATGAATTGGGTGACATGAACCGGCATCACGACACGCACCAAGAGCTCAGATAGATACGAAAATTTAAACCAGGAGGGAACATAGTCTACCACAAATGGTTCCTGTCAAAGGACGTCAGTTTGTGAATTTCGATCTTTCATAAACAGCTTGCCTGGTTCGCGTCTTCAACGAAGAGGGCTTCCAAGCCGTGCAAGATCCGGCAGAGCTCGCTCAGCCTGTGCGATTCCACTTCTGGTATATCCGGTAGGGCCAACACATCCTCGAGCACTCGCGACACCGCAGCATCTGTAACCAATCCGATCGCCATATAGTACTTGCTCTTGTTCAAGATACCCTACAGAGGTTGAGTTGTGGACCATCAAGGAGACAAGACGGTACACCAACTTTCCACCGTTGGGCAATGCGTTTTATATCTTGCACAACACGACTGATGGCGCTCTCGCACTCGTCATACCGGTCCTGATCCGCGGTGAAAGTAAATCCTCCAGCGCCTTGCAAGATGGTATCGTTTGCCGCCTGTCTGTGCTGCTCCTGTGTGGTATGAGCGGGTGCGATTGCGAGGGTGAGTCATTAGCCACGTACAACGGTATCTTCGAACCAGCTGTCCCCGAGGACCTTTAGGCGATGTCGACACTCCGCGAGCCGATCCTTGACGGGCGCCAGAGCATCCACATTAGTGGCAGCTTCCACCCGCGCGATCTCCCCACTCAGATACAGGCAATCGTTCGAGAACTGCATCGGAGCTTCCGGAGCGGACTTGAGTCTACCTGCGAATTTGACCGGGTACAACGCGCGGTACAGATCTAGTATTGAGGCGGCTGATTGACTGAGGACCGTTCCCGGGGGGGAGCTGGTCTCTACCGGGGCGAAGATTTTGGAAGCACCGAATTTCTGGCCCTCGGTCAGGACGTCCTCGAAGAGGTTAATGATTTGCCGTACTCGGCCCGACACCAGGTACGTCTCCTTCGGCGTGGCAACCGACGTAGAGAGCCTAGGGGGTCGGTTTTCGGGGGATTTAACGGGATCAGGTGGAGGTGGAGGCAGAAGTGAAGGGGTGATTGGAGGCGGTTTGGAAGATGACATGGGTGTGGATGGTGCCGGAGAGGACATCGGCGAGCCCCCGTTAAGGTGCTTCTTGCCCTTGTTGGCGAGCTTTTCCAGACGGGTCGCCATTTTTGGTGACGATGTGGACGTCGGGGAAGATGCTGCTATTTTGCTGGACGTTAATGAGGGAGCGGGCGGGGGGCGCATGTCTTTCGTCGTATTCAATTTTTCTGGGGGGTCGTCCCAAGGGTCGTCCCACGCCGTGTCCTCGGCTGAATTCGACGGCGCGTCGTCATCGTTCAAACCCCAGGCATCGGGTTCAGGCTCGCCGTGTCCATTTGTGGCGGGGCCCTCTTGAGGTTCTTCCAAGAGC